TTAAATAAATTTTATTTGAAAGAGAAAAGAATTAAAAAGAAATTTAAATAAATTGATAAAAAAACCAATTATTTATAAAGTAAAATTTGCAATTTTAATTAAATAATATTAATATTTTCTTCATTTAATTTTCATAACTTTATTTTATTTTTTACTTCTAAATAATTTTAAACGAATTTTTTTACTTATATAAGTAATTTTTACATATATTATAAATATTTTTTGTCAATATGTTTATTTTTAAATTTTTTTTACTAAAAGTGATTTTTGAAAAATTAAGTTTTATTTGGAAGAGAAAAGAATTAAAAAGAAAAAAATAATTGATTTTTTTTAAGAAGAAAACGCATTTGTTAACACATACGTTTAATCTCTATTTAACTATTTTCGATATTTATTTAGATCATTCGATATCTCTACGATATAGTTTTCAAAATGAGTTCCGAGAGAATGTAAAACATTTATCAATTCGAATATCGTGCAATCGTCGATGAATTTTTAAAATTAGCTTGTTATCGAAAATTTCAAAATAGTAATAAAATAATTGATTTTTTTTAAGAAAAACGACTTATGCGTATTTTTTAACACATACGTTTGATGTCTGTTTAACGATTTTGGATATCTATTTAGATCATTCGATGTCTTTACGATATAGTTCTGAAAATGAGTTTCGAGAGAATGTAAAACATTTATTATTTCAAATAATGGACAACGGTGAGATTTGAAATTGAAATGAAAAATTCACGTCATATAGTAATCATGAAAAAATATGGCTTTCATGTCAACTTTGGCCAAATATTCAGACTTGATCCGATAATCAAGTTATGAAAATAAATAGACTAATTTGTAATTTTTTGTAAATGATCATAGTATATTTGGAATATCACAACCAATTCCAGATAAATGCAAAATTGTGACTCAAAATTGAAAAGAAAAGAGGAAAACTGGCCGAGATTTAGCCTAATTCTACCGCTCGCCTAGCGCTCGAGCGGTGAGCAAGTGATAAATAATCTTCAAATAGTGAAGATCATATTAACTACTTATTGAACAAATTTTATGTCTTTTCACTTTTAATTGTAGCCACGAATCAATGGGGTATATAAAGGATTATGTTGATTTTAGAATTTCTTGACTACTGGCACCTTGTTATCAATAAATTTGAGGTCGTCTTCCTATAAATAAGTAAAAAACAATGTTATATTGCCCGCTGATGCGGCCCTCGAAGTTTACGGTTGTCAAAATTGTGGCAAAAAAACTTACACTAAAATTAGCATAAAATCATGATGAATCGAACTACACATTCTCAGATTTAATCTTGAGAAGGAGAACGTAACTTCTATCCACATTAGGTTAGAGATCAATTCTAACACGTATATAGGGTTTAAATTCATCATGTCAATTTAGAGATGAAAAATCGTCGTCCCCACCCTACCCCATATTATCCTATTCAGAATTGTCAAATGCACCTTAATCTTATTTTATATTATCTTTATTTTATTTTATCTTATCTTTATTTTATTTTATTTTATCTTTGTAAATTAAAATTTAAATCGTATTTATCTATATTTTCATGTCGCAGTTTGTTGATTTTTTTCCTTCCTCACTCCCCTCCTTTTGTCACCTCTTTTTAAGGGCGTTGCTAAGCTTAACAATATGTGATTTTTTCTACTTTACTAGTCTGCGTCTCGTGCGTTGCACAAATTTTGTATTTATTTTGATTTTATTAGCGTAAAATTTATAGATTGTACAAAAAGTATTTGGAAATAAGAAATATTTGTTTGATTCTCATCTTTTGATCGACTATATATTTTATATCACGATAATTTATTTTTATTCTTATAAATAAGTATAATGAATGTTGTGATTGTATATATGTCAACGATAATTTATTTTTAATTATTTTTTGTATTTTTTGTTTAATGTAGATGAAGATTTTTTTTTATCTGATATTGTAAATAAGTTGTAAATTAAATTTTGCAAAATACTTTTCTTTAGCAACTTCGATTCGAAAGGCTATACTTGTAGTTCAAAAATAACACATGCAATTGTAAATTGAAAGAGAATATCCACATACA